ACCACCAGGCGGTTTAGTCCCCACAAGTGGTTCGGAAGACGTTGCCTGGCCTCTGCCCAAGAAATGGATGTGAGGTTTAAGGGTTGGTGGCTGTGTCTCCAGAGACTAAATACTTCCCTGCTGACTCATTCTGGAGGGGACCAGCAAAGGACGGTCATCAAGGAAATGACCAAATGCCTCATCATCTGACAGTATCTTTACTTGCTTATCAGTCTAAATTATCCAGAAAACCCTTAGTGAGGGCAGGTTCGGAGGCCAGTAGACTGTCTAAGAGAAAAGGAGGGAGGCCGCCCCTACGGTCCCCACCATGATGTGCAGTGGCCCAGCATCAACTAGCACGTGCAGAGCGAGGGGCTACGGGCCCAGGGGAACTCCCAGCACCCACAGCGGCAGGCACAGTGAGCTCCTCCCTGAAGGGAGACCTCAGTGAGGTGTCTCTGTGTCTTTCACAAAACCCAAATGTCAAACCCAGAGACAGTCCTCTTGTAGCTGTGGTAGCCACAGCTACAGCCTTTTGGCACCCCCGACTATGTCCTTGACCAAGGCAGCTGGACAAAGCCACTGAAATGCCTGCGATGGCTGTGAGAGCAGAGCAGAGCAAGACACGGACTTCAGGTTCAGATGGACCTGGATTCAAAGTCCACACTAATACTTGCTAGTTATGTGACTCTGGGCAATTAATAACCTTCTCTGAGCTCCATGTCCTACTCTGTAAAATGAGGATCAATAACATGTGCTGGTCCTGAGCCTGCTTGTCCTCAGATCCGTGCTTTTGCCTCCCTCTTCTGCTGTGTGTCACGGGGAGTTGATCCCTCAGGCTACTCTTCCCACGCTCCTATCGGCTGGCTGCTGGCTGAGCTTGGCCAATCCTAGATCTGGGGACAAGAAGAAGGGGCTGGACGGGGGCACTTCTCTCCTCCCCATCGGTTTCAGGTAGTGCCTCTCTGGCAGCGGCTGCATCTCTGCCGAGGGGAGCTGGTATTAACATGATCACGGTTCAAGGGCTACGTGTACAGGTTTAACAATGTTGACAAGCCAGTGCCTTAATAAAGATTATTTTCGTTGATTAATCATCACTCGTGTAAAGGATGGGATACAAGACGGGAATTTTGATTAGGACATGGAAAAGCAGATGTTAGAAATATGTCAAAGCTTATGGCGCCGCAGGGGCCCTGATGAGTGACTGAAGTAGGGAAGGAGGGCTTCAGGGCGTGACATGGTGGCAGGGAGGTAGCGAAGGAGACCCTGCAGTACAAGGTGTTTAAATAACATCATAACCCTGAGAAGACCTAGACCCTCAAAGATGTTTGAAATTGGCATTCTAAGGCTGTCAAAACCATTTTTATTTCTCTCTTTCTTGAACCTTGTGGTTGGTTGAATGGTGGCCCCCAAAAGATATGTCTAAGTTCCAAACCCAGGTACCTATGCATGTATGTGACCTTATTTGGAAACGAGGCCCTTGAAGATAGTAAGGTAAGGATCTCCAGGTGAGATCATCCCGGATTTAGAGTGGGCCCTAAATCTAACAGCAGGTGTCTTCTTAAGAAAAAGGAGAGGGAGGCTTGAGACACAGAGGCACAGGAAAGACATCTACTTGCAGACAGAGGTAGGATTTGGAGCTATGCTGCCATTAGCCAAGAAATATGGCAGTCACCAGAAGCTGGGAGAGATAAAGAACAGATTTCTTCTAGAGCTTCCAGAGGGAGTGTGGTCCTGTTGACTTCTGGCCTCTGAACTGTGAGACTGTGAGAGAATACATTTCTGGGTTTGTTTGTTTGTTTGTTTGTTTGTTTTTTAAAGCCATCCAGTTTGTGGTGGTTTATTATGGCAGCCCTAGCAAACTAACACAGATCCCAACTTTCAACTGTATCACGTCCCTGAGCTATTTCCTAAAAGCTCAGCTCTTTGCTGACCTCAGGTCTTTGATCATGTTATGTTGGACATTCATAACATATTTATATTTAATGTATGCACATTTAACTATCTGGCAAAAATAAAAAGAGACAGGCTAATTGATTGCTAGAGAGAGGCAGAGAGCAAGAAGGAACTAATAATAGCGAGGCTACTGGGGACAGGCCTGCCCACTTCCCGCCTGGCGGCCGGTGAGCGCCTGCCCAGCAGGGCGCAGGAGGCATGGCGACGCCTGCCTGCTCCCCTCTCCCAGGGGCCTTGCGCGATGTGTGAGCTCTGCATTTAAGGATTCATATTTTTCACACAGCTTGGCACCTCAAGGCAAGCTCACACATTCATCTGATGCTCCACTGAGGCAACAGCAATTGATTTCACGACTAGAGGAAACACTGACTATATTGGATTTCTTGAGAGAGATTGCATCATTTTTCCAATACAGTCCCTGCTGAAGGGATTTTTCAAGGGTACCTTTGACTATTGTCTAGTCATGATTTTTTTTTTTAGCTTTATGCATTGATTTTTAGAACCCAAATGCTGAGTAAGATTTGATTCCTTCAAATTCACTTTGTTTAGAATCCCCTGGCATGCTTCAATGTGCCACCTTTTAAAAAAATTCTCTTTTTATCCCTTCACCTGTGTTGAATTTCTAGCTTCCTCAAACTTCCATAACATTTCCCTCCACCTGTCCGGTGTATCTCTGCTTACAGGGACTTGTTCACAATCAGCCTCCTTTACAGGAGTTCCTTGAAACTGGGGATTACATGTCTTTGAACACCCCCAATAGATTGGATAAATTAATGGATGGATGGATAAACTGATGAGTTTATACAGTTAAGAGAAAAATCAAATGGAAACTAATAGTTAAAGCAAAGAGAGCCTGTCTACACCTACACTGCATAATGTAAGGCTTGACACACAAATTGGAACTCAGACTGACATGTGACTCCATAGTCTGGCACACAGTTTGCTGGTTTCCTTTCTCTGTTGACTTAAAACAAGGCCTGGCACTGAGGCATCTCATTAAACCCCTGGGTACTGGAATACATCTGTACAGCAACTCAGCTTAAACGACAGTCCCTCAGAGAACGCTTGCCCGCACCCCCCAATCTAAATGAGTCTCCCCTCCTCCATCATACGCTCTCAGGGCACCCTCTTTTTCCTTTCATAGCAATTGTCATAGCCTTAAGCTGTATTTGGATTTTTGTGACTTTTAGTTTAATATCGTTTATATTCTCCCACATCCTGGCTGACTTAGCACTCAAGAAAGGTAGGGTTCGTGTCTGTTTTCTTAACCCTGGTGACCTAGTGTGTGCCCCAGTAGCCCGGCTACTATTGCTATCAATGTCTAATATTAACGGACTGTGTGTTATGTGCCAGACACTGTTTAAAAGTACTTTACATAAATCATCTCCTTTCATCTTCACAGCAACTCTATGAGCAGGAGCTATTATTATTCCTGTCTTATGGATGAGAAAACTGAGATATGGAGAAGCTGAGTTGCCCCAAGTCTCACAGGGAGAAAGTGGAAGAGTCGAGATTTAAACCCAGCCAAGAGGGTCCCAAAGTCAGCACTAGTAACTAACTACTTGTTGGATAAATGCATCATGATAAATATTGAGGGACTTTGGGACTTAGAACTGGGTGGAGATAATATATATATCTTCTGGGCTAACTTCCTAGCCTGTGCAGAAATGTTTCCTACGGAAACCCTGAGCTAGTTTTTCAGAGTCTTCTGAAACAATCTGGCAATGAGGACTCACCCACTTTTCTAACTGCGGAACCTTAACAATCGGGATGCTTTTTCGTACACGAAGCTGAAACCCCATTTCCATGGTACTTCCACCCGTGGCTGCTGTTCTGCTCTCAGCAGCTTAAAAGGACTTGAGTCTCTCCCATATGACTCTGGTAAGGGCTCTCTGTTCATTGTGAGGGGATCAAGGGCAAGCAGCTTTCCATTGTCTGCGCCTTTAGCGCCCCAGCACGGTGCCTGACAGTCGGTAAAATTTGTTGTAGGGATGAATTAATGAATGAACATATGCCTGTCCTTGCTACTTCTGTGAAGCACCAAAGAGTTCATGAATATGAAAGAGATTTCTAGAAACCCATAATTTTCTTGTTTATTAGAAATCTCATCACAGCTAGCTGCCACATTAGAAATTATAAAGCTGAACCAATTTATTTAAGGCATTAATATTCGGGAGTTAACTTCATGGGTTATCTCTGTTGGGGGCTACTTGGTTTTTTTTCCTGTATGTGGTTTTTGGGGAAGAGTACTTCTATTTATAAAGGGAATTTAACTAACCCATGGAATTATGGACAGCAGTGATGGGCATACTGAAAAAAGGGGTTTTTGGACAAAGGGGGGCTTTCTTGGTTTCCTGAAGCAGGAAATAAAATCTGCGAGCTTCAGTTGTCCCCACAAATGCCGTAACTACAGACCCTTTTCTAAGACTCCGAAAAATGCAGCACAGTTGTGACAGGCTGTATCTGAAACTCAGTCTCCATTTATTTATTTAATAATCTTATCTTCATTTGAGGACACCTTTTTTCCATTGCTTTTTAGAGAGACAGGGAAGGGCTAAGGGAAGCAGGGAGGGGGAGAGAGGGTGGGGAGAGGGAGAATGAGAGAGAGACATCAACCTGTTGCCTTCTCCTATGTGCCCTGACTGGGCATCGAACCTGCAACATGGGTATGTGCCCTGACTGGAATCAAACCAACTGAGCCACACTGGCCAGGGCTAATGCAGTCTCCATTTAAAATAAAGCACATCAAGAAGCTAGAAACAAAACCAAGCCACATAGTGATTGTGGGAATTAACAATCAGTGTGCGCTATGAACCACGCGAGTTATTTTTTTCTTTGTGTTTCGTTCAAAAACTTCTCTTATTTCATTTTAAGTTGCATCTGCTTTGCAAAAGTGATTTTTTTTAAGAGCACCATGAATGATTTATGACTTTCGACACCGCATCCCACAAGATTACATAAGGAACAGAGCAAAACAAGTGATTGAGCCAAATTTAAAAAAACAACAAACATTTTCAAAAAGTAGATTTTATCTTGGCTTCAGCCAGATTAAGTTTTCTACTCACCAAAAGTGCTCCCTCATTCCAAAATGCACCCCAGTTCCGTGAGGATCCCCCTGATTTCCTTTCTCTGTTGACAGCACTCCACCATCAACCTAACGCCTGGCCCCCAGCGATGTCCTGGAATGTCCAACTGCCCCGATTCCTCCCCTTGTCCCCGCAAGTGAACTTTGCAGTGGGATTGCATAAACGGCCTCATTAGTTTGGTAAATGATTGGACAAAAACACTGATGGGAGTAATATCTACCAGGCTGATTATTTCTTTAATCGCAGGATAATAGAATTTCCGAGCTCGCCAAGGCCCGGGACCACCTATTTATACCTGGATTGTTTGACAGCCAGAGAAACTAATAGCAAGAGAGCCAGAGCGACCTGCTCAGTCCCACAATGAGGTTCCTTTAGGCAGAGCAATGGACGTACTTCAACCTCAGGGCAGTACAGTCCATGCTTATTTACCAAGAAACTCTCATCTCCTTTTCTAAGTGGAGGTGGTGACACTGGATATTATTTTTCAACTACAGGGAATTTGGTGGTTATTGGATAGCATCTCTGTTGCTGGCTTGTTTAGTCGGCGGAGCCAATCTTGGGAAGGTGGCAAGTGCTTGCAGGATAAAAACCTGTGTCGAGGGTTTGAGTGCTGGGCAGCAGGCTAGGTGGGGTGAGGGGCACACCACAGTGGTCCGAGCGGCCAAATCCTGGGGATGCGGGTTTGTTGGACACGTGAGGTGTGGGTCAGAGGGCCTGCGTGCAGGGCCCCGTTGGAGAGGTAGGAGTAAAACGAGAGCGGAAGATGAGGCCCCTGTGAGGAGTCGGAGAGTGGCAGGGGCCAGAAGGCTGAGATGGGCGGTCAGGGCCACGTGCTGCCCAAAGGGGCCAGGGCTGTGTCATGTCATTTCAAGGTCAAAGGTGAGGATTGAAACCCAGTGCCCTTACCTCTGAGAAAAGCACACACGTCACAGAACGGAGTGTGGAGTGCGCCTCCATATCCGTCTCAGCCAGTGGGATGGAGGGCACCGTGTAGTTTCCCGGCCAAGGGCATGGACTTGGGAGTCAGAAATCCTGAACGTGCTTTTCAGCTCTACCTTTTACCCGCCACGTGAGACTAGGCAGGTCACTTCACCGCTCCACGCTTTGGGTTTCCCAGCAATAGAGTAAAAGCTACTTTATCAGTGGTCTGTAAGGGTCTCAGGTAATGTATATAAGGCCTTTAGCATAGTGTCTGGCACATAGTAAAAGCATAAAAATGATATATATATATAAAATATATGTATTTTTTAGGCTTGATCTTTGGAACAAGGTAACCTTGATTTGAAACCCAGCCCCGTCACTTAGGTGCTGGGTGCCCTTGGGCAGGTCACAACTTCTCTGAGCTTCAGTTTACACCCTGTAAAAGGGGGATAACGATGGGCACAGTGTGGGGAGGCTGTGAAGATTAAATGAGGACTCAGCCCAAAGTGCCGGAAGTTCCAGGGGACAGGAAGCACCAGGATGACTGAGGTTAACATGTTGGACGACAGAATCAGAGATGTGAAAGGAAGGATGATCATAAAAATGTGGATAGTGGTTTTAATTTTGTCGTTGTCAGTGTCTGTGTTGTTGGAAAAGACTTGTGTTTACAGTGAGCCTGTTTTATGGAAAAGAAAAGAATGGCTAGCAAATAGCAAAACTTACATAAACAAAGATAAACCTGTGGCTTGTTTTGCAATGCTCTAGTGCTAATGATAAGTAGGTAGAGCCAAAGCGAGACGAGCTCGGCTGCAAGGAGACAGGCTGATGTCTAGAGACTTCTCTCGTAGGTGGAAACCACTGTGGCTGTTTTGGATCAAAATACCCTCCCCTTTCAAAATCGTTTCAGGCTAAGTGTTTGGAGGGTGTACATGTGACCATGGCCAGCAGCAGAGATATCCTGTTTTAGTCAATTGGTGCAGTGGATTACAGCATTTTGGGACTGGAAACGTTTCAGCGTTGCCATGAGGCAAGCTCTGGATGAACTGTCCCTGCCTTGGGCTGTGGGGAGGGATCTCAGAACCCCAAGGAGGCGCTGCCAGATGTTGCTCGCTCTCCATCACTCCTCATTTCTAATTCAAGTGCATTGCCCTCCGTCTAGCAACCTCAGCCTCCAGCAAGAATGCAGTTTGTCCGATAAGGGTATGTTTGTACCATCTGGAAGTTCCCTGAAGGCCAAAAAATAGGGCTTTAAAAAAAAGAAGCCCCAAGCTTTCCCTCAGAGGGGAGACTCATTCATATAGGCACACAATCCTTCATTCAACAAATATTGGATGAGAGTTTGTGTGCCAGGCACAGAGCTAAAAATCAAATAAATAAACAAATACATAAATAAAAGTAAACAAGAAGGAAAAGAAAAAGTAGAACACAAGGAAAAAAAGCATTGATTTTACTTAAAATTAGTATAAAAAAAGGCACCAGACCAGGAATGCGGAAAGCCTATTACTTCAGTTGCAGATGTTCTATTGTATAATAAAGATTTTAGTCAAGTTACTCACCCCATTTTAGGCTTCAGATTTTCATCTGTGCAAATGAGGAGTTTGGGCACACGGCCCTGGTTGGAATGATCTGGTGAATGTTCCTCTTTGGAGGACAGGCTGAGATGGAGAGCTATTTTCCATGGGGGTTCACACGAAACCATTCTTCGTCATTTCTTTCCTCTTTTTGGTCAGCAGAGGAGGGCCCAGGTGCTCCAGAGGGACTAAGGAAGGGGGATTTCCCTCTGGCATCGGTAAAACTGGCAGGCGGTCTTGGCCACCTCACCGGCTCTCAGACCGACGTCAGCGCTGCAAGGAAGAAGGTGGCTGGGCCCGGATTTGCAGGGTTGGCTGCAAGAGACCTAGGCCCAGAGGGGGGGCCGTGAGGGTCCAGACTTTGCCGCTGGGAATCCAAGAGCTCCTGGAAGTTAATGAAATCTTTCCTTCCACACGTCAATCTTTTTCTCTGTCCAGGCTGAGTTCACTCCAGTTCGGTGGCCTCAAATTTGGATTTCTAGCACAAATATGTGTTTTTAAGTGCTTGAGGGTTTTTTCTCTCCTCCGCCCCCTCAAGACGTGCCTGGCGGGCCTTTCCAGGGAAGAGGAGACCCAATTCCACATGTGGTACAGAGTCTGCCTGTCCACGATGACAGCCCTCCTGGCAGCTGTGGAAAGCAGACTTAGTCGTGGCGACCATGGAAGGTGCCGACACCCCCTTGGCTGCTGACGTGTGGTTCTGGAGGTATGGGGTGTGAAGGTTCTGGAGGTATGGGATGTCCCTCGTATTCTTGGAGATACTCGAGTTGTCATGACATGGCAGCAGACGGTTCTCCCTTTCCCCGCCTGACCCGCAGGCCGCGCATCATCCCTGGGCAAGGGCTTTCCAGGCCTTCCAGCGGGGGTTCCCGCTGAGACGGAGCTCGTGCTCAGGGGGTACCCGTGCCCGTGACCAGCTCCCCTGGGCGGCCTTGGCTTCCAACACCAACTTGTGGTGTCACAAGAGACACCACACCTTCATTATCCTGTTTATAAAATGAGGGGAATGAATTAAATCGGGACTGCCGGCCCCTTGTTCCAGGGCACCTGCCTGTTCCTCACAGCTGCCTGTGTGCGGCGCAGAGAGGCGACGGGCTTTGGTCCTTCAGTCGGGCAACTCTTTTTTAATGCGTTTTACATTCTGAACTTTCCTCATGAGATATCCTTTGAAGAAAGTGTCTTCCTTTAAAAAAAAAATATAAAAAAATGTTTTGTAAAAAGCAATAGAATAAATGCACTCATTTGCACAACTTGGTTTTTGAGCACCAGTGATTATACGCCAGGCACTGCTCTGGGCCCTGCAAGTCCAGCTGTGACCGCGGCTGTCCGTGTCCTACTCGTCTCCTCTCCCCCGGACTCATCCTCCCTCGCTCACCAGCTCCTTGTTGCGGGCTCCCCCGGCCCTGCCACAGGGCTTTCTTGGGCAGTGGCAGCAGCGGCAGGAGCAGCCCAGGGGCCGGGCAGCCTGAGGACTGATGTCTGTAGGAGGAGCCCTTCAGTTCGCAGATGGGAGTTAGGAGAATATACCCCTTAGCGGGGACAACTCTGGGCCATGTTCTCCACCTTCTCCCAGAGGTCCTCACTGGAAACATGACTCAGCTGCTCATTAACACACCCAGGCTTGGCTGCCTGCCTTCCCTTCCATCTTACTTCCCCAAACCCTCGTGGTGCTTCCTGGGATCACCTCTGAAATAAACCGCTTGACCTTGAGTCCTTGGCTCAGGGGCTGCCCTGGGAAAGGGGGGAATTCCAAACTGTACTGGTGGAGCTTACCATTGTCTGTGTGTGTTTATTAGAGGATGAGGAAGGTCCTTGCAGCTCTAGTGTGGTCGTGAGGCACAGCCAAGGACCTGACCCTGCCTTTGATGGGGGCAGGCCCCAGTCAGCCTTTTAACCAACCTCCTGATTGAGTTGCCAAACATTTACTGAGTGGTAACTGTGAGCCAGTCCTGTACTGGGTTCTGGGACAGGGAGTCAAACACTGGATGGAAAAATGAACTTTTAAGAGCCCTACTTGAAGAACCACTGGAATTCTCTTGATTTAGAGAAACAAGAGGTATTCCTAGCCTGGGAAGCGAAGGAAAGACTTACCCCCCTGAAAGCAGTTTGAGAATAAAAGCAAGGCAACAAAGTGAGGAAGATTCTTGGGTTTTATTATAGTTCACAGGTGTAGCGCCATTAATGTTAATTCTTTATCTACGTACACACAGAACTTCCTAATGCTGGAGAGTAAGTGCACCAGTGGCAGATGGGCAGCAGCCTTAACCTCTGGAGGCAGAGGTGAGCTTGGTTCCTTAGGCAGGCTGGTCTGCAGGGCATGTCGGGTGAGAAGAGCCAGAGGGACCTCTCCAAGCAGCAGACCACAGGCGTCGGGGGTATTGCATTGCTAAGTCAGTGTGGGCAGCAGAACAGCTCCTTCTAAAACTGTCTGTTTCTAGGTCCTTTCAGTATTTACCATTGAAACTCCACTGGGGGAGGACTGAATCTCTTACTAGGTTCCAGCCTGAAAGAGTATTGTTTTCTACCGGGTTCCACGGGGCCTTGGACCTTCATTACATGCAGACTGCTCTGTTGGTCTCCTCCAGCAGCCACCTGGTCTCAGGGCCCTGGGTGATTAGGTTGT